CGCCCACCGACCCTGGCCCCCACGCCGGGAGGCGTCCGGCCGCGCGTCTTCCCGGCCCTGCCGTCACCACCGCATCTCCTCCACGGGGCTCAGGACTGGGCGGAGTGGGACGCGCGTCCTGCGGGTCCAGAGAACTTGCTGGCGGCCAGCACGCGGGCGGCGGGCGGAGGGGGAGGGGGTGCGCACGCCCTAGGTGGTGCCGGGCGCCGGGAGCCAGGCCCTCCGCCGGCGCTGTGCGGCCCCCTCCAACATTGGGGTCTCGGGCCTCCCACCCCCGCCCTGGCGGCCCTCCTGGGCCTGTTACTTCTTCCACCCAGCAATCCTGCAGGCAGGGACCCCTCTCCTTAGAGGGGGCGCTGAAAACCAAGGCTCTGGGACCTGGCGCCGCAACCCCGCCCGGGGCTGGCCCCACCCGCCACGGGGCCACCGAGAGCGTCCTGAAGCCCCGCGGCGGGTGGAGGGCCTGAAGGACCCCACCTTCATGACACCCCAGGGCTCCCCCAAGCACAGACGCGTCACCCCCTTGGAGGGGGGGCGCCGAGGCAGTCGGGAAGGGGGTGCAGCAGGGAACGGGCTCCAGGGGTCCGTCCGGGGAGCAGACTGCAGTGCAGCTGTCCAGCACCCGCCTGGCCACCTGCCTGCCCGGACTCACGCTGGCCGCTGCGCAGCTGTGGCCGGTGCTGACGTGTCCGGCCGAGGCTCGGGGTTCGGCGCGGCTCTGGAGCTAGGGGCCCGAAGTGGGCGCGTCGGCTCCGCCCCTCCAAGCGTGGGCGCGCCCCTCCCCCGTGCCCAAGTCGCCCGACGGTGCTGCCCTGTGGGTTTCCCTGCTGACCTGGGCTGGGGACCTGGACGCACGCGTAGACTGCCCTCGGACCGCAGGGAGAGGCCAGTGGCCAGCGGGTGTGGCCGTCCCTCGGACCGAGAAGTGCGGCCGCGTCCCGGGCCCCGGACCCCGCCCAGACGCACAGGCGCGAGCCCGGGGGAGCCGCACGGCGCTCAGCGCTCAGCGGTAATGAGCACATGTCTCTCCCCGGCTATCAAAATATTTGGATGAGGAAAGTGGCTTATTAAAATGAGACCCAGAATGCGCCTCCCCTGCCGTGACAGCTCCGCGGAGTCGGGCCTTCGGCTGCATCAGACTCACGGGGGGAGCGGGAGGGGGCGTGCCCGCAGGGCACGCCGGGGCCGGATCCTGGCCTGTGGACCTCTTTGGGGGGCCCCTGTCAGTCAGCAGGAAGGCCAGTGTGAGAACTCAGGGTGCAGCCCCCCTGAGGAGGGCCAGCGGGGGGCTGGGCTCCTGGGGCTCCATTGTCCCCTGGGGAGAAGTCCCCCCACCCCCAGCCCCCAGACTGAGGCCCGGAGCCCTGTCTGGCTTTGCTCAGACTCGGCAAGAGCCTGCAGGAAGTCAGGGGACGCCCAGCAGGGTCGGTTCTGGAGAGGCACCTCGGTGGTGCAGCGGGGCCCTGCAGGTTCCAGAACAAAGCAGCTGTGTCCAGCAGACACAGAGGGAGGGAGGGCGGTGTCTGCCTCTGTCTGCTGGGCGGAGAGGACCCCGGTGGCCTCCGGGGCCTGGACACCTGTCTGGTTTCTCCCCGGAGTCTGCCTCTGCTGGCCGCGTGGTGGTTCCTGGATGGCTCTGTCCTCTGAGCAGTGCATGTGTGTGTGTGCACGTGTGTGTGTCCAGGGGCGGCTTTCCAGCTGACTGTGGAGTTGAAATAGCCGACCGGTCAGGACACAGCCCCGTCTCCAGGCCGCGCTGTGGCTGCAGCCGCCTTGGGGTGCACCCGGCTCATGTCTCTCCAAGAGAACCAGCTACTCTGGGGGCCTCCACCCAGGTTCCAGCACAGGCCCCTCAGGGCTGCTCTGGCACCCCTGTGCCCTCGGGTGGGGCGTCCCCTGCAGGCTTGTGCCATCACCTGCTCTGGTGGCTGCAGGCCACATTTAAGGTTTCCGAGAGCCGCGCGCCAGTGTAACCGTTTTGACAAGGAATTGTTTTGACAGCAGAAAACTCGGTGCAGATTCCTTGGGGAGCTGGTTGCAAACAGACACCTCGCCGCGCGCGGCACAGGACCACTCTGGAGGGGTGGCGGC